GCATGCTGTCCTATAGTCTCCATTGAACTGGGGTTGATCCCCTGGCTTGATGATAATGGGTGAGTGGAGTTATGCTAGGCTTTCAGGTTGCAGATTGTGCTGGAGTACAATTCTACTGCTGTTGATGGCCCACAGCACCTCATGGATGCTCAGTTTTGAATTGCTAGATCTGTTCAAAGTCTATCCCATTTAGCACGGTGATAGTGCCATACAACACGATGATGGGTATACTCAATGTGAAGGTGATCTTTGGCTCCAAAGGACTGTGCGGTGGTCACGCAGACCAATACTGTCATGGACAGATGCATCTGCAGCTGGCAGATTGGTGGGGATGAGGTCAGGTTTGTTTTTCCCTCTTATACGTTTCTTTACCACCTGCTGCAGACCTGGTCCAGCAGCTATGTCCTTTAGGACCTAACTGGCTCGATCAGTAAAGCTGCTGCCGAGACGCTCCTGGTAGTGGACATTGAAATCCCCCACCCAGAGTATGTTTTGTGCCCTTGCCACCCTCAGTGCTTCCTCCAAGTGTTCTTCAACATGAAAGAGTACAGATTCATCAGCCAAGGGAGGATGGTATGTGGTAATCAGCAGGAGGTTTCGTTGCCCATTTATAACCTGGTGCCATGAGACACCATATGGTCTGGGGTCAAAGTTGAGGACTCCCAGTGTAACTCCCTCCCGACTTTATACCACTGTGCTGCCACTTCTGCTGGATCAGGACAAATCCAAGGATTGTGATGGTGGTGTCTGGGACATTATCTATAAGGTATGATTCTGTGAATATGACTATGTAAGGTTGTTGCTTGACTAGTCTGTGCGACAGCTCTCCCGATTTTGGCACTAGCCCCTAGATGTTTGTAAGGAGGAATTTGCAGGTTGGCAGAGCTGTTTTTGCAGCTGTCGTTTCAGTTCTAGGCCCGTTATAGGTGGTCTGTCCAGTTTGATTTCTTTGTTTTGACTTCATAGCAATTGATACAACTGAGTAGCTTGTGAGACCATTTCAGAAAGCAGCTGGGAGTCAACTACATTGCTGTGGGTCAGGAGTCACATGGCCAGACCAGGTGAGGATGGCAGATTTCCTTCTCTGATGGACATTAGTGAACAAGATGGGTTCTTCTGACAATTGTTTCACCGTAATCATTAGATTCTTAATTCCATATTTTTTTATGGATATCTGCCATGGTGGGATTTGAAGCCAGTTCCCAGAACATGCGGAATTCCTGGATTAATAGTCTAGTAATAATACCACTAGACCATCATGTACCCCAAGTAAAATTATGATAAGTCAAATTCTGATTATGAGAAATTCCGGTTATGTTGAATAGAATGACGCCTGTGATAAACCAAAAGTTCCACACTGCTAAAGCTGGATTGGCCAAATTCACTTAAGCCTGATATATGATTATGGCAACCAATTAGACAAAGTTAGGCCACGCTGGAACATGAAATCATGTAGCTCAAAGTAAGCCATCATTTGATATGTCTCCCTCCAAAGGGACGTTCAGACCTGAAAATACATCTAAACCTGTTAGAATGTTAAACATGTTGTTGATTGGAGAGAATTTGAAGTCATACTGCAAGTGCAAAACAGTGGCTTTAAGCAAATAGTGGGCAACACTAAGGAGTGGATGATTCTACTGCTGTGTTTTCAAAATACTTACAGTTTTTCTGTGTTTCCATTTGGGGTTTTTGTTTTCTCAGAAAGTAGTTTGTAGCCAAATCTGGTTACATAGGGGCTTCCTCAGTTTTCTCAGAGCTCCGCTTAATACAAATTTGTGAGTAGATCCCCTGTGATTTGATTCACAATGAATTCACTGTATTTACCTCTGCTGTCACGAAGATGGTGGGTTACACTAAGGTTTATAGTCTTACCTGCTCAAACTGACATTCTTTATACTGTATCTAAGCCTAGATGCCATAGCCAATAGTTTCATGTAAGGTCTGCATTTGAAAATTTAGATGTAGGGAGTCGTTGGTACAAGACAGAAGAAGCCCTACCTGATTCTGCTTTTTGCCTCCAGGCTTTGAATCCTGCAGAGATTGAGATTACCTAACTTGACTCTAGCCTGACCTTTCAATCTGTGTGGTCCTACCCCACACTAGGTCCATTTACACATAGAATTAAGAGGGAGACTGGGTTAGGTTTGTGAAAATTATGAAGTCCACAGTGACAACTTCCATCAAATGTTTTTTTAATTGCAAGAGGAATCAGAAAAACTCAGTTCTTTTCTTAACTTTATTCAGAATATGTACAGATACAAGCTTAAAATGTTATAAACAAACAAATAATTTAGTTTAAGTAACATAATACATAAATTAATCCTGCTGTGACTACATAGTTTAAAGATATATGAATAAGAACAATTATGCCCATTTCCTCCTTACCTCATTTTAATTTATCATTAAAAGTGACTGCAGTCGTCTCATTATAACAGAAAGTACTCGTGTCATTATTTTTCAAAAAAGTCAGTCTGAGTTGAAGGATTGTTAGTTAAAATTCTAAAATTCTAAAATTAAACCAACTTTTGCTTACTCCTAATGGTGGGTCATAATAAAGTTTGACTGCATTTCTTTCTTTGTTCAGTTTATTTCTAAGCTGAACATGGGCATGTACTTCTCAATTCCAACACTTGCCCACAACTATTTTCCTCCTTCTTTACCTTGTGGTTAGAGGACAGTTGCAAAAGTGCCAGCAGCTTCCAGAACTTGCTCAAGTGGCAGATGTGAAGATAGTAGAACCCTTTGCAATCCCCATTCAGCTTCTGCACGTCACTTTGCAGTAAGGATTATTGGGTAACAACCACCTGGCTGATTTCACCCTCTTCTTTATCTGGAATGGCCTAAATATAATAGCCTAAATAAATTGAGACTAGTTAATTTATCATAGATTAGGGAGCTTTCTTGGGAGTTCAGTCTCACTTTAGACAGTGGGATTTCCTATTAAGCAAAGGAACTTCAAAACCAATTGCATGTCTAAATAGTTTCATCAAATTCTACGTATAAATTGAGGTAGGAATACATGTAGGGTGGTGTTTTGTTCCACCTGACCTTAATAATCATAATAATTTCAAAGTCAGTACTATCTAGAGCCAAGCTCTTCAGTGTGACTATCCTCTCTGGCCCTACATACAGTCCATCAGTGTCATTCTTTGCAACAGCAGGATGTTTGACTGTGGGGTCAAATCATGGTCAAGCCCAATCCATTTTTACAACTGAGATCCATAACAAAAAAATTCCACCAAGAGTAATTAGATACCAATCAATTTATTTTACATACCCTCCTTCCCTACCTTAAACAAGGATTATAAAATGCATACTACATTGCTTTAGTAATCCGTGCTGAAATTCAGTAATTCAGGACAAGAATCAAACTTTGGACCCTGTGATAGGCAGTTTGTTGTTATGTTTACCAACAAAACTATTTGAAGATCTGTATGATTATTTATCAAAGTTAAATGACAGCAATGGTTAACTGGTTAATTCTGAATTTTGAGTGCTTGGCTCAGTTTAGCCATCACAGACAGTGCAAGAATACAGCGACAATAATTTATAAAATGTATGATATTTATAACATCACTGCAGCAGCCATTTATGTGTAACATTGTTAATGGTAGCAAATATACAGCCTGACCTTCTGCTCCTGCTCCCAGAGTGAACTCATAACACCCAGCCCACACAGGTTTTTAAAAAGTGGACCCGTTGAAATGACTATTTTTGAGACTAGTAGACAACGTCACCAAGAGCATCTTGACATAAGGAACTTGTGTGAATGGAGCTGCTTACAATGGTGTAAAAACCTGAGGGCACCTGGAGGGATGCCAAACAATTTGCTTGATATAGGGCAGTACATCATCAAGGTTTATAACAATAAAAGAGAAAGGACAATAGATCAGAAAATTTTTAAAAATGGGGAAAACCATGCAAGATGAAACTGAAGGAGCTCCTGAGAACCAATGTATTTGAATAGGATACTATAATGAGTCTCAATCTCAATAAAGTGAGAATGTAGAGTGGAGAAAATGTTAAGAAGGTATTAGGAAATTTCAAGTGGACTGCAAGGTTATAGGAGTACATCTGGTATAGTAAGAAATCTCAAACTCAGGTGAAAGAAGAAAACTGTCAAACTTGTATCTTCACACCTACTTATTTCTAGAGTTCGTGGCTAGAAATGAGAGACAATCAGTTATATCTTCACCCTTTCTGTTATCCATTTTCCTTCTTGCTCACCATACACTAACTTTCTCCATGTGTGAAATGCCTGAGACATATTTGCATGTGACGAGAAACATTGAATTATAAATCATTATTGAATCAGAAGACTTTTTTTGTATCTTATTAGAGAATGTTAACAGTTGTTAGGATGTTACAGAAATATTTTAAGAACCTTCCCTGATATTGGCGTAATGATAAAAGTGTTAGACATTCTTGAGCATGAAACAGAATTGTTGAGGAGACAAGCAATGTTAAGCACGAAAGAAACCAAGCTTCTTGAAAGCTTCATTAGGAAAGGACAAGGTTTGATATTATAAGAGATAGTGAGATGAAGATGATGAACACGTAAAGAAAACTAAGGGCATTTTCTTGAGAGGTAAAAGGTGGCAGCACTTGATCAGATTCATTTGCAATATAAATAAAGTTTTGCAGATTAGAAAGAAACAAAAATGTAGCTGCACTACCAGAAGGGATGGCATTGGATAATTTGATGGAATTTAGTAAACAAAATCAGGAATGTTTTGCAAAATTAATGTGAAGGGATGGATGATGAATGAATTGATTGAAATAAAAAGAGGACAAGAGGAAAATAGGATAAAGGACTTTGGCACCCTCTTGTAAAGAATTTAGCAAAATTTAAAATATATGAACTATGCTATTGTTGAGATGAAACATGTGGTGTATGAAACTTTGAGTTTTGTAATTTAGCTTTATATATATTCAAATTCCTATAACAATATCATTAGATGGCATAGTGGTGTGACTCATTAGACCAATACAGGTCTCAATCAGTTTCCTGCATCATTATGACTTCTTAATTGCAGACATGCCTTTATGGGGAGGTGTCAAATGGAAACAAAGTGCTAAGATACAAAGAAGGCCTTTGGGACAGTAGCTCTATTACTATCCCAAACACCTCTCAGCAGCTGGTGACACAGCAGCATTGGCAGAGACCTAGGGCTGGGTCACCCATGGCCAAGGTCAGTGTTCAGAGCAGTAAGAGCATGAGGGTAAGGGAAAAATACAACAAATGTCTTTAAAAACAATTTATTGCAACAGTTCCAAATCAGGCAATGTCCATGAAAGAACTGCTTTTGCTTTTCTTGCGTTTGGTTTTGGCTGAGGGCACACGGAGTTCCAATGATTCCAAGCGAAATGGCCTTGGTGTGGGCATTTCTGGAGGCTGGGTTGGAGAAACTGTGCTCAAGTTGGAGGCAGCATGGGAAGAAGATCCATTGTTAAGAGATACATTATGCACAGATGTGGAGTTGTGCACTGTTACAGGAGAGAACAAAAAACACAAAATAGGGTCATTTGCACAATGCCACAACATTCTTCATGAGCAATATTCACAGACCAATTTAACCAAATGCAACTTCAAAAGTTGATCATTAAAGGGATTTCTATTTTATGATGTTTTGCGAATCAGATCTGAGTACAATATTTTGAGTTAAACTGAGGAATAATTTAAATCTGATTTATTCATGCCAATGATGAATATTGATCAGTATGGGCTAGGCCTAATACAGAAACTGTTTTTATTTAATTGGCTGGTTCAAAATTGTATTTTTCTTCTTAAAAATTGCCCAAAAAGGTGTCTGTTCCCTGTCCCACAGGAACTGATATTTCTTTGATTATCTAAAACCCTGCATAAACAAACTGGATTTTCAAACCAAGTGATCTAAGTGATACAGATTTAATTATTGATCATTGTTTCTTTTCTGCTTCAAACTCCTCACATACAAACAGTATCTGTGAATAGCTGCAACCGTGGCAGATATTCTGAATATATGTTGAGAAAAGTTTACACATTAAATGTCTTAAGATAGGAATGCAAAGACAGGAAGACTAGTGTAAGATTTCCAGATTTCAGGGCCATTTCCCCAGAGATCTTAAGACCCCCATTTTCCAGTATTGCTGAATCTTTCTGCTAGACCCATGCACGCCCCCAAAACACAACTGGACTGCATATTCCATTGCTTGTTTAACTGACAGACCCCAGGCCTCCTTCCTGGGTTCCGGGATGATCCCAGAAGTTGTATGTTAATACAGATGGTCATATTGCTAAACCAATTCTATTGCTATAATGCAGGTTATGAAGTACTGCAATGCATTTTAGTAGCTTGATTGGATAGTTGTTTGTACAGCATGCCATGCGAAAGCAATGAGTTATGGTTTACTACTGGATTAAGAGATCAAACCAGTTCAAAGACTTCCTTAATAGCATCTTGGACCAATATCTACCATAACAATAAAAGGTATCCTCAACAAGATACTTTTTAAGCTGGCAAATGCTTCTGAGTTCTGATATTTCCACTTGGAAGGAATAATATTTGAAATAGTTCCCAATGGTAACTTTAGTATTATTGCTTTCATTATGGATTGTGAAAATACTTACAGAGACTTCGTGCAGGGTCGGTATTCAGGATCTGACTAGCACGCTTTGACCTGAAGTAGTTGTTGGCAATATTTTCACTGTCACTGCGGTTCAGCATTTGCCTGTAACGGTCTTCCTCCTATAAATCAGTAATGATATTTGAAAACACATTTCATTCTTATCACAGCAAAAATAGTGCATTTTCTGTGGAATAATTCATTTAAAAACTGTCATTCAAGATTCAGTGAACTGTTTGGAACATGACAGATAATGTTTTTGATTTAGAGCCAGCACTGAAAAAGTTGTCTGGGATGTTTAAAAAAGTATAATTTGTTGGTTTGCCATTCAGTCTTTTAGATAAGTTTAACTTATGTTCAGAACTGTCAGCCCTATACAGAGTACCTAATTTGTGTAAACTTATCTTGTACCACAGAGCCCTTTTACAGTAAACTGTAGCTCCAGACCCTAGGTTCCCCCAATTCGAAGTAATGCAACATCAACAAAATAGAACACTGATTACTATTTAACAGGACAAATATGAGTTTTAAAAATATTTATGTCAATTGCTTTTCAATACTGAATAAGACAATTTGAATATTATTTTCTGCATTAAATTGTTTAGTAAGAAATTGGACCTGCTTTTGCTCAAAATGAGCATTCACAGATGGAACAGTTGATACCATATATACCAGACTAGAAATCTTAATATGTTCAAGTGTTACTCCTCAGCTGGTATTTCACATTCAGCACCAGTAATGCAACATTCCTCAAGGGTGATTTCTCACCATACTTTATCTCGAGGAAGTTATTTCAATTTATGGACGCCCATTCACACTGTTTCAGAGTCACATTTAAACAGTCTGTATATTTATTCTGCTGATGAGTACCTCAAAATCATCAATGCACCAGAAATTATCTTCTTCAAATTTTGTTCATCGTGATCAGTGCAGCTATGCTGGGCATGTCTCCATCTTAAAAAGATTAAGTTTCAGGATTCTTTTATTGCCACCTGATCTTTACTAGTCATTTTTGTAAATCATTCACTCATGGGGTGCAACCATGAGGTGAAAGGTGTTCAAACTGTGACAATGAAGGAATGGGGTATACTTCTAAGTTAAGATAGAGATGGTGATGTTCCTATGTAGATTAGTTGAAAGTAATTTATGCAATTAACACGAATGATCTATGCCTGATGATACTGCTTTTTAGGATAAAATAGCAAATTCCTATGTTGAAGAAATTTGATTCACATAAGTAATGAACATCACCATTAATCTGTAGAATGCCTACAGCGTGGAAACAGGCCATCCGGCCCAATGAGTCCACATCGACCCTCCAAAAAGCATTCCACCCAGACCCATCCCTGTAACTCTGCATTTCCCATGGCTAATTCACCTAACCTGCACATCTCTGAACACTATGGGTGATTTAGCATGGCCAATCCACCTAACTTGCATATCTTTGGACTGTGGAAGGAAACCGGAGCACCCAGCAGAAACCCACCTAGACACGGGGAGAATGTGCAAACTCCCCACAGACAGTCGCCCGAGGGTGGAATTGAACCCGGGTCCCTGGTCCTGTGAGGCAGCAGTGCTAACCACTGAGCCATCATGTAGCCTAAACCACCATGCCGTGATTTTGTTAGAAATTTAATTTTCCATCCACAATGCAGGCATCACCATACTAGATTTGAGCAATTTTCTAATCATTACAGAAAGAAGGAACCAGATTTATAAAACATTTTTATCACGTCAGGGCACCCCAGAACACATTACAGCCAATTAAGTATTTCTAAAGTCAAGTAATCATCTTAATTATGGGAAATGTGGCAGCCAAACAGCACACAGAAGCTTGAAATCCACTAACTTAGAGATGGGTGTGATATTCTACCTATATAATGCTGACAATACATTTGGCAATAGGATGTCAATTGAATGAACTTCTGAATAGCCAGCAGCTTCTGAAACAATGAAGCAAGCACTGCTCAGTCCTTACACTCTGCAACATTTTATTCATCATTTTTTAAATCTATTTTTATCTGTAATTTCTTAAAGAAGAATTTTCCAGACAGAATCACATGACACCAGGTTAGGGTCCAACAGGTTTATTTGAAGATACAAGTTTTTGGAGTCTCACTCCTTCAGGTGTCAGTGAGAGAGATAGCATTGGACACAGAATTTATAAGCAAAATATCAAAGGGTCATAGAACTGATGCGGTGTTGAACAAACCTAAGATGGCTGTTAAATCTTTAATCAGTTAGAAAGGATTAATATGCAAATTCCTGAATTTCTTTCAAGTCATTGGCCCCGAGATAACTAAAGGTTTTATCAGTTCCCTCAGTATACCAGAGGTGACATCCCAGGTCAGACAACGCATTTTAGGTGTGAGGCCTAGACATCTAGACAGAATGTCCCATTTCTAAGAACATCTTCTTATTAAATAACCATTGCACAAAAATACATTTTATTTATTATTTATAAAAATGTGGACATCACTGGCAAGGCCACCTTTTATGGCCTAACCCTTAATAACTTTGAGAAAGTTGTGATGAGCCACCTTCTTGAACCACTGTAGTGGATGTTGTGATACATTCCCCCATTGCTGTTCAGGAGGGATTCCAAAGATTTTGAGCCAGCGACGATGAAGGAAAAATGATATATTTCCACGTCAGAATGGTGTATAATTTGTGGGGAAACCTGGAAGTGGTGGTGTTCTCATGTACCTGTTGCCCTCATTCTTATAAGTAATAGAGCTCACTAGTTAGGGAAATGCTGTTAAAGGCACCTTGGCAAGCATCTTGTAGATGGAAAACACTGCTGTCACTGTCTACTGATGATGAAGGGATGAATGGTTCATCTGCTGGATGGGGCGCTGATCAAGTAGGTTGCCTTTGTCTTGGATAATGCTGACCTTCCGGAATACTGTTGGAGCTCCGCTCATCCAGGCAAGCGGAGATTTTGCAGTCACATTCCTAACGTGTGATTTGTTGGCAGAAAGGAGCTGAGTTCCTTTTCACAGAATATGCACCTTCAGACTTCCTTTTGTAGCCAAAATATATACACAGCTGGTCCAGTTAAGTTTCTGGCCAATGGTGACTTTCAGATTGTTGATAAGAGGGTAATTCAGTAATAGTAATATTCTTTTACGTTAAGAGAGGAGGTTATAGTTAAAGCCTCTGTATTCCAAAACTTACTTGCCACATATCAGCCCAAGGTGAATACAATGCAGTCTGCTCCTCAAATTAGATTGCATGATCAAAACTTAATATCTCTGCTTCAGTATTATAAATGTTCAAGTAAAGCTAATGTCAGTTGAGTTTAACAATGTATTTCTGGCAGTCTGTATAATGATTTTGTAGGTGAGACTTACCATTGAGCAATCAGCAATTTCAGTTGTAGTGACTCTCATCCCCTGCTTAGATGGCGCTAGACTAGAGCCAGCTGAAAAGAAAATAAAATAATTGAAATTAACTTTTACAACATAAAGAACTGCACTTTATTCCTATCCAAAATTGTCTCATTTCTGGTTGATCTAGTAAACATAACAATTTTTTTTATGCATCTTATTTATATTACAGGAAGACCATTCCAAGGTAGACCTTGTTCTCTGAATATGTTACAATGTGTAGCATGGAGGGAATCAGAGGTTGGAGGACTGATAATTATTCTTATCATGGCCTTTAGCACTAGAGATTACACAGTTTGCCCATTGTGGTCTCTCTTCCACGACAAAAGATAGAGACTACCACCACACTGCTAACTTGTATCACCAAGAATAAAATTAGCTGTTAATACACTTCACCACAATTGTAATTAGCTCAATGCAAAAGGGTACAGAAAATAATCAGTTATGTAATCCTTGATTTTTGCAATATTTCAGACTTGTAACACTCTAGTTTTTAAAACCGGGCAGCTCAATGGAACTCTACACGCTGTTCCCAATATGAAAGCTGGCACTTGAAAAACCTAAACCCTCTTTCCATGTATCCTTATGACATTTTTTTCAAGTGGACTCTAGTTATTTTGGATTCCTTTTCCAAAGACAGGAAACATGCTGATAATTAGTTTACTATTTGTCATAGCTAAATGTGTTAATAATGGGCAGTGCCTTCACTGACTGCTACTTTCATTTTCCCTTGAAAGCTAGCCTGTATTCCAAGTTTAGTTCCAAGAAAACCTGTTAAGATGTTCACAGTGTTATAGTCCAAAATATAACTTTTTAAACAGAACTGAGTGTCCACATTTTTTGCGATAGCTTTACTTCAATTAGCCACACACAATAAAATGCATCACTGATTATTAGCTGCTAAATTTATGCAACTGATTCATACACTTAACTCTTCATTAATATATCAATCATATAATCCCTCATTCCATCAGGTTTCAGGCTTTCCTTCATCCATTTTAGATGATAACAGATTCCCCTATCTCTTATTAGTCGAATCGATCTATAATAATTGTGATGTAGACTGTTGATTTATAGGCATAATTTTTAATGATGTTTTGGGGGATTGGGTGTTGCTTTTGAGTTAGCAACTGGTAGGTTTTCCATGTGTCCGAAGTTATTAACATGTAAGTGCTTATGTAACCATGGTGATTTCTGAAGCCAGGCTATTGAGTGTTTGTGCACTAATGGACTTTTGCTTATTTTAGAGTCTTTGTGACTCAGTATGGTAAATAATGGGGCCTCAAAGGTTTGTTACAGAATTCTGGAATTTGTGGATTTTTTTTGAAGTTTAAGGGGAACCCCCATAACTGAGAGACTTTTAGTTCACTTTTTACCTTCAGTGGGTTAGCCCTGAGAAGACCTTGGAAAATGATGGCTGTATAAATAGTGTTCCTGAGAATGGAATGACAGATTTAGTGAATAAAATTGTTTTGGAGTAAAAAGTGAACGTTAGTTCCAGACCAGAAGTGTCAGGACGTAGACCCAGGAATAGTTATTTAAGCTGAGCATGTTGAAGTTCAAGTATTGTGATAGGTCCTGGAAGAATACATCCGCAGTTCCAGTTTAAAAATGAAAGACATGGGTGACTTCAACCTCCCAAGATACAGGAGTCATGGAGTGTGTTTTGGATACTGTAGCAGGTGTAGGGTTTTACAAACTGTATCAGGGGTATTTTGGGAAACTATACAAAACCTGCTTTATTTCTTTTCAATTTATAAAGGAGTGTTTTAAGATTAAGGGGATTACACTTTTACTGTGTGTTTAAAATCTTTGAATTTGGAATATAAGTAGATAGTTTGGATTACGTTTCATGTACATTCGTTTTGTTGTTAAAGCAACATCTGCAGTATTGCATGCTTATGGTTCAGCAAGCAAACACTTTGTAAAAAATTAAAAATAAAATATGATTCATCAAGCCAAGTTCCTCATTAGGGTCTGCATTTTCCAGTAATAAAATCTGCTGGGATCATAACAGAGTAAGAAAAAATACAAATAAAAACAGATTATATTCCAATATTTTTCTCTAGGTACCATAAATTTCCAAGCATCCATTTGTCCAGTACATCCAACAGTTTCTTAGAACTTGCTGCTTTCTTTGTAAAACAGTCGGATAATTGACTGCTGCTATCCATCCATTTCAATTTGGTGATCTCTCCATTCGCCAACATCTGTTTTAAAACTGCAGTATTGTCCCTCAGACTTTTTTCATTCACACATTTTATTGAGTGTACGTTATCCCATGGTGAAACAGTATTGATGTAGCACTAACTGAATGTTGATGTTGAATCTCTTTTTAGAATTCCTTCCAATATTCTCACTCAATATTTTTTGCAATGTTTCATTTGCATGGAAAATATCTTCCACCTTTATTTTTCACAGTGGTACTCAATTTTAAGACCTCAAAACTGGCATCTGGCCTTGTTTGGGTGCATCTTTTTATAAAGCCCTACCTTAGGCTGATAGCAATGGGGTGACATATTTCAAATAAAATTGCTGATGCAAAGTGATGCTTGACTCATTCTGCCTGATTTCTAAACCAATGTACTTGGCATCTTGGCATACAATGTATGGCATCTTTTTTTTAACTAATCTCGTAGTTTGTTCATGACTATTAAGACGTCCCAATCACATGGGCTTCTGCTCCTCATATTCCTGGTTTGTATTATATTTCTTGTCCTTGTAATTTTGCTTTCTATCTCTTTTTGGACTGCTACTGTTTAACCTCCCACTCCTGTTACATGGAAAACCTGGCTTCTAAATTTGAATTCCGTTTTGATCCCATTTATGACAATGTTTTCAAATTCACTGCTCTCTCCCCACTAAAGATCATCTACAATCATCATAAAGATGGTGAAAACTGCAGCTTATGGTGTCTGTAAAACATGGCAGTGCATGCTTTTAACTGAAGACAATTCAATTTTAATACCAAAGCACAGAGATGTCATTTAGGCCAATACACATATTTAAGTTCCAAAGTGTCCCCACTTCATTTGGCGCTGCTTTTCAAACGTGAAGAAACATTTCTCTTTTAAACTGATATCTCTGCAGAAATGCAAATTTAATATCAACTGATCTACCTTCACAAACATTTGTTACTACCAAAGCCAGAAAAAATTTAAAATACTTTTCCTGCTGTCAGCGAATCCACCCTTATATCTTGATTCTCCAGTTTATTTTCAAAGCTCATGCTATCATGTCGCTTTTGCCTTATAAATCCCACCTTGAGCTACCTTTTTGATGCATATCCACCCATGTGATAGGGCTGGTTAATCCCTATCCAGGAACACTGTGTGTACATTCTCAATTTTCTCCAGCTTTATAGTTCTTGTTGTATGGCATCTTTTTTTTAACTAATCTCGTAGTTTGTTCATGACTATTAAGACTTCCCAATCACATGGGCTTCTGCTCCTCATATTCCTGGTTTGTATTATATTTCTTGTCCTTGTAATTTTGCTTTCTATCTCTTTTTGGACTGCTACTGTTTAACCTCCCACTCCTGTTACATGGAAAACAGAACAGTACAGCACAGAAACCGGCCCTTTGGCCCACCATGTCTGTGTTGACCATGAAGCCATTCTAAACTAATCCCATTTGTCTGCACATGGTCTGTATTCCTCTATTCCCTGCCTGTTTGTATGTTTATCTAAACGCCTCCTAAACATTGCTATTGCATCTGCTTCTACCACCTTCCCTGCAGCATGTTTCAAGCTTCTCTGTGTAAAAAGCTTTCCTTTCACATCTTCTTTAAACATTTCCTCTTTATTAGAAGGATTTATTTCAATAGTTTGTGATCTCTTTCTAGGGACACATTTATTTCTAGATCCACTGTTTGACTTTTCACTGCATTTTTGTCTCTTTCATTTTTGTAATCCATGTTTCCAATCTATGGGCTTAATCCTCATCCAGCTTTTATATTTTCCAGTGGCCTTCCCTGTTCTACTTATCATAATCACATTTCTTCATTTACTTTCTCCTTCTGATAAATATTTGACTTTGGTATCCACTTTTGACAGTTGCCTATGTGTCTAATGATGTCGTATTTACCATCAGAACTGATTTATCCATCCTCAGACAAACTGACAATTGCAGCAGTTTGATCCTCATTACCATGCAACACTGAGTATGAAAAGTACCTGACTCCTATTTTCTGTAACTCCTTCAGAACTCGCAAATGTATAATTCATACCAAGCAATCTTGAAGACTGTACCCAAAAAACCTGGTTCCATGCTGTGCAATTATTATATTGCCAATAATATTCCCTCAGCCTCTCCATTCTTTATAATAAATCATGGCTCCCAGATTGAAATTGGTTTTGGATGACCTTATACCTTAAGGTCCACTGAATTTTTTCTGAGACTTTGGTTTTCACAAAAGCCTTTCTGAATGCCTGCAATGCATTCAAATGCTTTGAAAAACCAGAATTAATCAAAGTCCTTTTCCAAGCTGATCGCTTATTACTGATGAAATTTAGGATTCATCCCAAAACCTTACAGATAATCACTATATCCTTTCACCATCTGCAATGGATTCTTAGCATGATTAGATAGTGTAGATGACAATTTACAGTTTCGCTGATCTTTCAAAATTGACTGACTAATTTTGTCAATTACTGTACGGTTCCTTTCACATAACCATTGCTGAAGTGGCTTTCTGCTTCCATATTCGTAACAGTTATGTCCATACATGTGCACATATCTCTGAATTCATCATTAGCAAATTCCCTTCCCAATCATCAGTGAGAAATTTTGCCTGTAGTCCAAGTTAGCTCCCTATCCACCTTTCCTTTGCCTTATCCCCAATTATTTTCATATCTGCACTATGTATTATTGTTGGCTGATCGTCCCATATCTTTAAATCCATTAACTCACTGAAATTTCTTGGTCAGTTTGTGACAGTGTACATTCATATTTCTCAAATTTATCTCTACGAGCTTATCGTACTTCCTATCCCTTACTCATTCATCCTCTACTAAAAGTTTTAATTTTTTAGATA